CTTTCACTGGCATAAAATGATTGTAAAGACGAATGTAGTGATCTCTGCTTGGTATCATTGGCCTGCTGCTATACAAGATGGCTACACTAAACAGTTCCTTGTACCAGCAAAATATGGGCTGACACTTCACTATCGTGTTCCGGAACTGAAGCCTAAAAGGAAAAGTAAAAGATATTTTGACATGAGTCAATATTTTAAACAGACTCTCACTCATTTACAAAATGACTGTGAAGCATCCTGGTTGAATAGGTAAAGAGCATAATGTTAATTATTAATATTAATTTAAAATTATTAAAATAATTAAATTATTATGATTAATAACTAGTTATTATTAATAACTAGGTCTAGGGCGGCGCGCGGCTGAGTCGGGCGCCGGGCCCGGGCAGCGCTGACATGAATGAGCGCTACACCTCCCAAGGCTCCCATTACTCCCTCTATTATGTATTATGATTGAATTAAGAAAGGCCTTGCTCTTTGTGTTACCGACCTTATCTCTGTTATGTATCTGTTACATATTATTCATTACTAAAACGCCCGGAGATGCTTTCAATGGTGAACAATTGGCAGTGGACATTACAGACACAGAGACCGTATGAATAATTAAATCTCAGTACAATTACGAGTACCGTATAGCCACAGATACTTTTTTGACATAAATAATATTAAATAAAGAGGAACCACAAAATAGGGTAGGGATAAAACAGAAAAAAAAGATGGAGGTAAATTGGCATGTTGCTAAATTTTAGGTGATTGTAGGATTTTAATTTGCCAATGGCAAATTTGTGGCCATGTGCCATTGAGCATGTGTATAATTGCTGAAAACGGCAGATTTTATTTTGGCAAATTTCTATCAAAATGCCAATTCACCAAATTTAATTCCCTTCAAATTAAATTTCCTGCTATACAGTAGCGCTTTAATTTTCTTGAGCTAAATTTTCGTGGATTGATAAAAAATCAGTTTTTGCAGATTGATAACTGAAAATCAATCTTTGCTGAAAATAACTTTAGTGGCTTTGCAATGTTAATGCCACGCCTTTAATGGAAATTGAATATTTAGCTGATTTTTAATTTTGCGGTTGCATTCCAAGTTGCCAACCCACAAATATAATAAAAGTTTTGCTCCTCAAAAAAAGCACTATACCATATTTTTGTGGTTACCTCCAATAAAGTTAATGATGCCTAACAACTGACACTACAGTTGTAAACCATTTGATTTGAGTTGATTACATGCAGGTGCCACATATCAGTCTTAAACCATACGCCATGAAACTTGTTTCATGAAATGAACAATAGTGAATGATGTTTTATCAAGGAATATAATTTGACAATCATATATGGGAGCCCAGGCTTTAAAGTTTAAACTAGCCCCATTTTAAAATAGTGCCTAAAGCCCAACATAGACTACAGGCAACATGTTGCCAGCCTTTGATCTTTCTTTCAATTTTGTTGAAAGGAAAAGAAATGTTTTCTATTCAAGGCAGTATGTTGCTTGACCAGATTAAAGCATGATCAAAGGTTGGTCAAATGTTGAAAGCAACATTGTTGAATGTAGTGTTAAGTTACGTTAATGCATCAAGAGCCAGAAATTTAGCAAAATGACTTTAATTTCAGATTACAGCATATACAAGCCAGATCTTTTATTTTTTATAATCAATCTATGGCTAATATAAGCAAAGCAAAGCATAAAAGGAACTACATTGACAGAGATTGAAAATAATCTTGATCAAATAAAAATAAATTTTAAAAGTCACGATCAAGGTAGTGAAGTAGTTTCCATTCCAATCCTAGTTCTGTATCTATGTCAGTCCTAGTTACAGGGCATACAAGTAGTTAATTATACCTTTACTTATAGCAGGTTTCTGATAAAATGTTTCAATTT